GAAGATGATTGAAAGAAAGCGAGTCTTTCAGATGATACTGTACCCAGAGCACCATGTGCTAGACCAACTGAGGTGCTCCCAAGTCATGTAGAAGAGGACACAAAGAACTTCTCAGATGTAGGAACTGTTGGTGACGCCCCCTCTCCCCCACCGCTGGTCCCCCAGCCCTGATTTGCCTGCACTTTCCTGACACACAACCCCCGGGCTCTGGTCAGGAGCTCAAAGGGGCCTCAGGGCCAACTATGTTCTTAGGTCATTCTCAGCCTCATTACTGGAGATCTGAACACTTTGCAGTCAAACCTTTTCATTTGAGTCTCTGGATCTGGTGGGGATGAATGTCAAATGCAACTCAGCACAAGATCACAATTGCTTTGTTAGTGTTCTAGTTAAAAATGGAAATAAAAAACCGTGTCCTTTTTGGTGTTCAGGGGGTCCTTGGCAATGACATAAATTCGAATCCACTGACTTGGGGACCTGAATGGTACTATGTGAGCATTTAAAACAGGAACACTGAAGAGATGGCAAGTTGAATACTAAACCCTGTCAATAGTTAGGAGGAGGAGGCATAATCCTTCTGAGGTTTCTACTACCGTCATTACTACTGTTACTACTATTGTTACTATTACTGCTATTTCTACTCTCATTGCTGTTACTCTCATTGTTACCAATATTACTGTTATATAGAACTTGAATTCAAGGAGGACTTTAGTCTGCTCTCAACCAACATCTCCCACTGTTATTAATTGGCAGGATTTCCCCATAGGACAAGTATATCAAAAGGATGGGGTAATTAATTTTGGGCAAATGACTTACTGAATCTTAGGTCTTAGGAAAATTAGTGACTGAAAGCAAAAATGATACAGCACATGTAGAGCCCCCAGCTCAGAACTATCCTGCTGTTCCTGCTGCTGGAGACTCCAGCCTGGATTGATGTAGGAGGTCTGTGAGATAAGGGGGGGGGGGGTGTTGAAGGGGAGACAGGGTGAAAAAGGGAAGGTAGCCCCCCAGAAGAGCAGGGCCACACTCTTCCAGAAGCTGTGATAAGGGGCCATTGGTACAGAAAGGCTGCCTGCCAGAACACAGAGAACGGAAATTGTCCCTAAACTAGTGGACTTAATTTTTCTAACAGTGCAGAGTTATCAACCTGAAAACACCCACTAACACAGCCAAAAAGTTTTCTGATCATTCACTGAGTACTTATTACATGCCACACTCAACCTTCTATGACTCTTATTAAAACCACTGGTGTTTAACTGGCACAAGTCAGGCCAGGAAAATCCTTCTTGCTGGGACTCCAGAGTCCATATGCTTCCCTGGAAAAATTAGCATTGTAAATTGCTAAGGAAACATTTACAAAAGAAAGAGGTTCTCTCAGATGGTTTACAGAATTAGAACAGGGAACTTCCCTCAAAAGTCCTAACCTATACATAGCTTTTCTCCCCTCCTCCCCCATCGATGAACTGGAAACACAAACCTTTCTTTCTATGACCAAAAGCAGGATACTAAAATAGGCAGTACCATAAATCTCAGTCACTGAAATGCTGCGAAACACAGTGAAGTGTTGTACTTAAGACCACAGAAGTTTGGAGTTTTGTTATGTTTTAATTTTGATCACCTGAAGCTTCATCCAAACCACCTCTATGAAGGTTATCCCTGTCATGGTTCCATGGCCAAGAGACTTTTGCAAAGTTGCCTACTTTAAGGCGTCACTGGGGCTTAAGGAGGTGACTTCTAAAGAGCTATTGGGAATAATTCTTTTCTTTCTTTTTTCTCCCCCAGAGCTTCAAATCTCTCAGTCTTTGCTACAGTTGAGTTCATGTATCCCATAAAACAAAAATATGACTAATTTAGCTTCCAACTTTCCAGTACAAATAAGTTTTTTTTATATAGCAATACGAGTTTAAAATTTTCACTGTTGCAATGAACATGAAGGCTGCATCTTGTCAATTCGACTCAGAAACAGCATTAGCCACACACAGTATAATTATTAGAAAAATAAGCACAACAAAACTGAAATGCAGACAAACGAAAACATTCATTTCATGCTCTTCCTTCTGACACGCAGTGCAAATGTGCCCTCTCGCTGAAATGCCTGGTACCAGCTCAACTCTGTTTAGAAGTTTTAGCACATTCTCCCTAAGTCTTTTATCGTCACTGCAAGGAAATGTAGGATCTTGCTTCAGCCAGGGCCGACGTCCAGCTTGGAAGAATTGCCTGGAGGTCATATTAATGTAACAATTTCCAAAGGAAGCTGGAGATGACCTGCTTACTCCATTACAGGAGACGGATTTCTCCTGTTGGAATTACTGCTGAATTGTAAATCTCTTAAGGGAAGACCAGGCAACCAACTCTGCAAGGCTCCTACCCACTGAAGGTGCTGTGATTCAAAGGGCAGCCAGTAGGAACAGGTGAAGCACCCAGCCACCTGCAGTCGAGGGTAGAGTTCCAGTCCCCAAATGTAAACATCTGCAAAACACCATTATCTACAATGGAACCACGCGTGCGTCACAGAATCTCAGAGCAGGAGAAAACCTTGGGGGCTCTCTCTCTAAAGGAGCTGGACTGAACTCCTTTACATGGTGGGAATTTCTTGCCCAGGGTCCCTTTCAGGAAACATCCAACCTCTGTTTTAAAAGTCTTCATTGACAGGGAGGCCAATTCTATCATCAACTCTGACCGTAAGGTGATTTTCTTGGAAAACTGAAGATCTACCTCTCTGTAAATGTCCAAACTATTTTTACAACAATCCCAAAGAAGCGAAACAAGACTTCTTTGATGTTCCTTCTGATGCATTTAGGCTCAATTAACACAAAGGCTAAGTATTCATTTGATTGTCCTAATAAGACGTGGGTTTCAGACTCCTCAGACTCGTCACCTTCTGGGTTCATTCTGGTTTTAGAATTGAAAGGGAATGGCTGGGAAGGGGATTTATTCCTTCATTCAGTAAATATCTGCATGCCTACTATGCTTCGGGACTGTTCGAGGGATAAAGAGATAGACAAGACAGATAGAAATCTGTGTCCTTAGGGAACTTCTATTCTAGTGGGGCGGAGAGAGATAAGAAACAAGATACATAAAAGTAGAGTTTGTTAGATAGTGATAATAGCTAAGGAGAAAAATCAAGCAGAGAGGAGAAAAAGAGGGTATCTGTGGGTATTGAAATTTTAGAGAGGATAACAAGGGGGGCACAAGACATTCCAACATATGTGGTGAAAACCCTCCAGCAGAGGACCATGGTGCAAGGCCAGCAGGGTGGCTGATGTGTTTAGGGATCCTCCAGCAGATGAGTGAGGCTGGGGTACATGAGGTAAGAAGGAAGGGAGTGGGGAATGAAGTTAGAAACATTAAGGAAAGCAGGAGGTGTGGGAACTTGTAAACTATTGTAAGAACTTTGGTTTTTACTATGAGCCGGGGGGTTCTCTATCCACCTCCTTGCTGAGTTGGTGTTCGGTGGAGCCATGTTCCTTTGGTTCTTACACAGTAGTGATTTTAATGCTGGCTGATTGCTTGGCTTGGGATGAAATGCTTAGGCCATTTTTCTCTCAAAGCTTGATTGACTTGACCCCATCATCTTCTGAAATACTCAATTCCCACAGAGAAGCTGGAGACCAGCTTACTAGTTACCCTTTCTAGATAAGTTCCTTTTGATGCCTATGTGTTTGAATAATTAACCTTTAAGTTCAGTAGTGGTATCAAAAATATGCCTTATAGCAAGTGTTCTGCATTAATTGATTCCCCCAAACATGTTTTTCATGCTGATTCCATCCTTCCCTCACATCCAGATATTTTTTCTATTACATCTTTCATTTTCTTTGGAAAATCAATTATATTATGTTGGATCATCATTATCTATTCTCCATATCTTTCCCTCCCTCTGGTTGATTTAATCTATGATTCTTTTCTTTTCACTGCATAAAGATACAGTGCTATTCTGTTTTCCAGCTATGTATATTCTGTTCATTGATGTTTCTGATAATTCATGTTGTATTTTGGTAGCTCCTCTATTCTTTCTTTATAAATTTCTTTCAGTGTTACCACCGGCTCTTTGTGTATTCTGTTCATTGATGTCTCTAGTCTATTCATCTATTTTTAAGTGGTATTATTCTGATTCATTTTGTGTTTGGGTAGCTCCTAAATTCCTTATAAATTTAATTCAATGTCACCATCACCTCTTTGAGGTCTTGCTTCATTAATTTCATGTTCTCTTTCATTTCCTTTACAGAGGACTTTTTTTCTATTTTTTAAAAATTTTAGTTCTACCAGGATAAATTCTTCATCAAGCTTTTGCATACCGTGCTCCTTTATTTACATCTACCCATATGTATCTCTCTCTCTTTTTTAAAGATTTTATTTATTTGAGATAGAGAGAGAGTGAGAGAGACAATGAGCAGGAGGGCAGTGGGAGAAGGAGAAGCAGGCTCCCCCGCTGAGCAGGGAGCCCGATGCGGGGTTTGATCCCAGGAGCCTGGGACCATGACCTGAGCCGAAGGCGGATGCTTAACTGACTGAGCCACCCAGGTGGCCCTACGTATCTCTAGCTGCCTTTACATGTGGCTTTTTCTACTACTATAGCCACTTCCCTCTATATTTTTATACCTACACCCACATAGCTGCATCATTGAATTACTTCTGTCTTGTTTAATGCTGTAACGTTATCCATAGATAACTAATTAATGAGTTCAACAATATTTATTGAGCACCTAGCAAGTGCTAGCTACTAGTTTAGGTACTAAAGAAAAATCAGGAATAAAACCAGACAAAAATTTCTGCCCTTGGGGAGCTTACATTTTAGTGGAGAGGAACAGAAAGTTACCAAGCATAATAAGTAGGTACATTTCATATGTGTGAAAAGGTGGTGTTATAGAAAAAATCCGGAGCAAGATAAGGCGGCTAGGAGTGACATGGTTACCATTAGAAGGTTTGGAGCTGAAGACTGATTTGATTTTATGTATTTTTAAAAATAAGTACCCAAGCTGCTTTTTACATTTATAGCATGCACCCCATCTGGCCACTCTTTTCTCCTGCTTAGTAGGAGTGGATTCTCTCCTTGACTCTTCTCTTCAGCAAAGAGCTGCAGTTGAGGGCTGAGGCTCTTCATTGCTTCAGGGGAAAGAGGTCAACGGGAAACTTGGGCAGACCCTGGGTGATAATCCACTCCCTACTCTCTTTTCCTGAGATCTCATTAAAAACTACACACCACAATGGCTCTTTCCAAAAAGGGATGCAGCCTGCTTCCCTGGAGGATCATCCCCCAATCGTTCCCTAGTTCAGACGGAGGTCCCTTCCACTGGAAACCAAGCGGGTCCACTGCAGGTGTCCATCTCTCTGCTTCCTGTCTCCACTTCCTCTTCCCAGGCAGCAATCCTTGCTCTGCTCTTGAACAGAAGGTGGAAAAGGCAGAGGATGGTGGGGGCCCGTGGCTGAGGCAGGGGGGCAGGTGGATTTCCACCGGGGCTCTCTTGCTGGTGCTTCTTGGCTTGTGTGTTTTCACTCTTGTCTTCATTCAGCCAAGCCCACGATTTCGGCTCTGGGTGACGACAGTAGTGCTGCCTTCCTCCTGGTTGGGCAAACAAAACTGGTGTGCTGTCCACGAGGAATTGAAGACCGTCCTTCAGCATCACAAAGTATAAGCCACAAAGTATAAACTTCGTTTTAAAAAAGAATCCGTCTTGGTTTAAGGGGACTGCATTTTCATGTTGATAGTTAAGGCGATGACAGGTGTTTTTCATCAACCCTTGAGGATTTGGATTTCTATCTCAAGTCTGATTATAGGAATGAGGGTCTTTTATAAATAAGTCTGTGCTCATGGATGACAACCTCCTGTGTCTTCCTGAGTCTTACGAGATGAAAACGTAAACAGACATTTGTGTATAAACCAATAAGGACCCTCATCCTTTCTGTACCTTATACAGAAAGCTGTAATTTCCTAAGTGTCATTTTCCTAACGTGTTGAAACTTACTTCAGCTACTTTTCCACCTCGCAGAGTTATTTTTCAAAAAAAAAAAAAATTAGATCCAATGCACGGATCTGAAAGGCTTCCCATCCTTTACAAGATTTTTCTTTTTCTTTTTCTTCCACCGCTCATTGTAAAACACTGTGAAGGATTGCATGGTGGGGCTATATCCTCTGGACTGCCCTAGATTCAGGGAATTCAGAGTTAAGGCTCCAACAGTAACCTTAACTTTGGCTTCTTGCAGGGTTACAGAAGCCTTTTGTTATGTGATCACATCATCCCAAAGAGCTATATTCTCCACGGCTTATCTACCATTCCACCTGCAAACCCCTCTTTGAAGCTGATGGGGCTCTGGGCACGGAGGGGCCAGACATACTACAGGAGAATTAGGCCCCGTGCATTCAAAACTACAAAATGACACACATATGTGCATTTCTTATCTGTGAGGAAAGGTTTAAAAGGCCACAATTTAGCTACTTTAGCTACTTGACGGCACCTTCTGGAGAAGCTATATGGAAAAAAAGAGTGTGAACTCTTCCATTTATGTAAGTCACATTCTGTGTCATGGCACCAACTCGCATATAGTTGGTGGATAAAAGCCTCCATTGTACAGGAAAGGTAACCTTGTAAAAATGACAAGCATAGGCTTTCTTGGTGTTTTATGCAATTAAAATGTTAACCTTGACATTATACTAACCCTTCAGTTTTCTTTAAACGTCCTTCAGTTTGCAAACCGGAGGAAATTTTTTTTTTTAAAAGTGTGGAATATCTATAGCTAGGTAATCTCCTTTTTTACCTGTGTTCTCTTCACCGATAGCCACGGGGATGGGCTGTCCCAGCCAGTGGCCATGGTCCTGTTGGGGTTCCCACACCATCTTCATTCCATTGTTTTTCCCCTTAACTTTCTCACCCTCACCTGCCTCCCTTACTAGGCAGGGATAGAGGACTGGGGGAGTCCTCTCCCCCAGAGTGTGGGGCAGAGAGCGAAGGTTGCTCCCTCCACCTCGGTCCTCCCCAGCGTGGACATGGGGAGGCAGGATCCTTTGTACCTCGGTCTCACTCATGGAGGGCCCTGGCTTGTTGTTGAGAGAAAATTCCTTAGATCTTCTCCAGATCCTGATTTTCCTGAAATGCAGCGGACTCTTTTTCCAATTCTGTCTCTATTCTGGGCCCTCCGCTTTGTTATCTATAACCAGGCGTGCCTCGTTTTTACCTACATAGCGGAAAACAAATAGGAAGATGGGAGACATGGGAGGGGACTTTTAGTGGCTATTTGCCTGCAGTAATGTCCTGTTAGGAAAACCTCATAAAGGTAATGTGTGTGTGTATGTGTGTGTGTGTGGGGGGGGATATTTTAGTCACAGGACACAGGGCAGAAGCTGTGGGATAGCTTCCAAAACAGCCATCACAGCCCTGTGCTGACATGATGAGGGGCAGTAGGGAAACGGGGTGTCGGCTCCTGGGGCCCACAGGGGAAGGAAATGAGTAGGTGATGGGCAGCCAGACTGTTTTCTGGGATGCACTGGGGTACCTGGGCCTCTGTCAGTCCTTAGTCCTGGTTTGGCAGAGCCAGGAGTGCTCCCCTTGGGTACTACCATAGTAGTTTGGGGCCAGATGATGTTCTGCTTCTGCCTGGTGGGGGGAGCAAAGGAATCCAAAGTCTTACTGTTTCTGAGGAAAGTGTTCTGATATGCCATTTGGAACTAGCAGGTTATTTTTACAGAGAAACACGGGCTACCTTCTCATTCATGTCTACAATCCAGATTCTACTTGGGGCAGGTTCTGAATCAAAAGCTTGTAGGGACACCCCGAAAAATCTCACTGTTCCTGTGAAACTAATGAAGCCTAAGCCCCAGGTGTCTCGCTAGAAACTTCAAAGCCCCTGGGGAATGTCCACCTGAGGACATGCTTTACTGAGATACTTGACAATTGGTGACACCTGCTGAGTCTTTCCACTGGGTCCCTGTCCCACCCCCCACCTTGGGGTGGTTGTGGCATTTGTGGGGAAGTTGACTTGGGACTATTTTTTAATATTGGCTTAATGGGATGTCTCTATGTGGTCTGCAGTTCCCTTCTACGAATAGTTAAGCTACTGCTGGATGTCTTGGAGTAGGAAGCGCTTTGAGCGATATTCCTAACACCTGCCTTGTGATATGCATGATGTAGGAACTTGTACAATGGCGCCTGGCACCGGAGGTCTGTGGACATTGGAGGCAATGAATGCAATCTGCAAAGGCAGAAGTTAGTCCGTGAAAAATTCTTCTACATGTCACAACTCTCATAGTGAAAGTGACTCCATAGAGAATTTTCTCAAATTTGACAACAATCCTAAAACTTCACATTACCAATAACAAATGAAGCTCTAAGTTATCTTTCTGAAATATCATTTTTTTTAAGATTTTATTTATTTATTTGACAGAGAGAGACACAGTGAGAAAGGTAACACAAGCAGGGGGAGTGGGAGAGGGAGAAGCAGGCTTCCTGCCAAGCAGGGAGCCTGATGCAGGGAGCCGGATGCAGGGCTCGATCCCAGGACCCTGGGACCATGACCTGAGCTGAAGGCAGACGCTTAACGACTGAGCTACCCAGGCACCCCTCAATCATTTTTTTTAAAGATTACTCAAGACTGAGGAAGCCCTGAATTATCTTTTAATAATCACCACAGAAACTGATATTACAAAATTTCTGTCATTTGAAGAGGTGATCAAAAGATATTAACCAAAAAATGTAGGTGATATTATAGAGTATGATAGATTATACTTGTGGGTCTTGTGATATTTGTGGTCTTTTCCAACTTTTACACTTGTGATTTCTTTCCCCATTCTAAAAAACTATGAACTCTAATACATAACTTTGTATTCTTAATTATATATTATTTTTCTTAAGGAAGGCTTCCCCAAATTATATAAGCTTCAGGCTCTACAACCCTAGACCTGCCTCTGAAGAAAGAATATTCTGATTTGTTAAATACTGACCTAGCGAAAAGATGTCTGCTTTTTAAAGTGGTGGTTGGCTGTAAATTATTTAAACTGTACAATAGTAACTGCAAAAACAGTCCCTTGAGAGCTTTTTAGAATTCAAATCAACATCTCTTAAGCCAACATTTGGTGGTTCTCTTGGACATCTGAATAATGAAATGCCCTTGAACACCTCCTTCATGAATGACTCCTTCTACACCTCTTCCAATGGATCCTCCGAAGTCCTGACCTCAATTCAGAGCTGAAAGTTTGTGATGTCAAAGCCAATTAAAAACAGGAGCAAAGAAATCCAGGGACAATCTAAATCCCAATACTGACGGAAGCAACCAATGAACAGGGCCCTCTGACACAGGAATTAGAAACCAACAGAAGTTGGTTTGGACAGTAGTCCCCAATCCAAGGATTGACATGAACAAATGATGCTCCATGTACTCTGAGAACATACACAAATAGCATGCCTTTCTCTTTGGGATGACAGTCCCCAGGCTTTCGGTGTTCTGTAGAAATTTCTAAAATCCTGGCTAGTTTTTCTGAGTTTAGCTAACTATTAAGATTAGGTAATGCCCCCATAATGAGCCTGGAGCTAAAAACCCTGAGGCAATGATTACACCAGATGCCAGAGTATAATAGCACATTCTAGAAAGTAGAATCACACAGAAGAGTCTCAGCAGGCATCTCTGTAGTGATATAATAGTGGCAGTGCAGTGGCGTGGGGGGACCATGGATTTTGGAGACCTGGGTTTAAGTCTCTACCACTTTACAAAGTGATCCTGGTTATGTTACTTGATGTCTCTGAACCTCGGTTTCCTTATCCATAAAACCAGCTTAATGATACCTACCTGCAAGGATGTTAACAAGAGTAAATCCAGTGCTGTGGGCAAGTGTCTGGATACCAGTAGGTCCTCGACAAATGAGAGCTATTATTCCTTTGTGGGCTTATGCCAACACTGCTGTTTGAAGGTCAAAGTCTCAGGCTCAACGATAAAGCGGCTTTTATGAGCAAGGGTGACTCTATTTTCAACAATGCTAATGTATGGGCTACTGACTGGCTGGCTGTTCTGGTTGATCTAATGGGTTGGGCTGTCTTGATTTGTGAACCTGTTTTCTATTTGTTAGATGCCCAGAAATTTTCAAGATTGTTGATGTATATAAGATTTCATGGACTGAATTTGCAAAGATAGTGCCTGTCCCTACTGGTAAGCAACCACAGATAAAAGAAGAAAAAAAAAAGAGAAAAGAGAAAGAAGCAGTAAGGAGCGTTACTCTTAAAGGAAAGGAAATTGAGTCCTATTCCAGAATGGTTCAAGAATTTACCATTCTGCTGCAACAAAGGAAACTATCCACTGAATCTTTCTAGGAGTAAATTTGGCTCATTTCTCTTTTCTTTTATAAATATTTGGTTAAAGTCACATAGATGACAATTTAAGGAATCATACTTCGGTATGTTCTTCGCACAGTGGAGAACATTAGCCAAGGCCTGTTTACCACTGACATTTTCTGAGAGGTACAATATTGCCAATCTAAGCCAGCTTTCCACCTTCAGGCTGTACTTGTATATTCTCATTGGAATTGCATAGCAGGGAAAAAACTTCTAGAGAAGTCCCCACGTGTAACTGTGATACCTGAAAATCTCCACACGCCTGTGTCGAGGACTATAACTATTAATAAAAGCCAAAAACACTTCCTGCACACCTGTATAGACATTCTGACTGTGGCATGACCACTGGTGATCAACCCCATTCATACCAGTCCCATGTTAATAAACTCAATATAACGTTAGAGTGCCATTCTGATTTTTGTTACCCATTATGAGTTATAAGAAAGGCACTTTTGAGTTAAATGCATTCTGAAAAACAACTAGATAAGCAGTTGTCTTTGATTATAGAGTAAGAAGTACAAAATTGGTGACATTATTATTGCTAATGGTATGGCCTTGGGCAAGTTACTTGATCTCATTAAGCATTAGCTTCATCAAGAGTAACATGGGGGAGGAATACCTTCTTAATAAAGTTACAGAGGAAAT